TCGTCGACGATGGGGCAACGCAACCGATCCCAACCATATAATTTCAAAAGGGTCGAATCAAGTTGTACCAACTGCGTCAAGCCGCACCGACGAGAGCGCTCCCTGAAGGCCTTCGAACAATTCTCCAGAGAACTGCGAGCTCATCGAACCCTTCGTGCCCTCCTGCTTCTCCTCCTTCTCCTCCTCCTCTGGGAACGTCCGAATCCCAGAACATGAAGACTGATGCGTTCGGGCTCGAACCGCCTATTGCACAGCTCCAGCCATCCCACTTCGATAAGCTGCTTTGATTTTGGCGCACGCCGCGAGTCCTCCTCCTCCGTGTCCTCCTCCTCACTTCCTTTTCTCCTCTCCTCATCCCCCGCCTCCTCATTACCACCCCTCCTTCGCTTTCCTCTCGTCATCCGCCTCCCCTTCCTCTTCATCCTTCCCCTCGTCCTTCCTCCTCCCTTTCTCCCCCCCTCCCCCTACCTTCTCTTCCCTGCCCCCCCCGTCCTTGTCCTCCTCATCATGCTCCTCCCCTCACTCATCTCCCTATTCCTCCTTCCCCTCCTCCTCCTCCTTCTCCTCGTCATCTTCCTCTATGTCATATCCTACCTTTTTTCCTGCTTTTCCTCCTTCCCCAACCCCTTCTCTCATCCTCCTCCCTCTCTTGGTCCCCCCTTCATTCCCGCTCAGACAGAGTACGGTAGCTTGTCTGATTGCAACTGGGCGATTGCGCGCGCGTACTAACTGTGAACGAGATGCATCCCAAGACGCCCAAACCCCCATCAAAGCATGTACGCTCGAATTCTTCACGTAGCACACGCATGTCTATGAATATTCTCCCACATGCGCGCATGGCAATGGTTGATACAACATTGTGCCACATTGCATGGCTTCTCACGCACGTGGCTGTTGACCCAAGATCTTCAGAGAAGATCTTCACGCTGGAACCTCGGCGCGGAGGTCTGCAACGGAGATCTCCACGCTGGGGGTCTCCCCGGGCACCCAGATCGCCCAAGACGGCCCAACATGACCTCCAAGACGACCCAAAAGGCTCCCATGCAGAGGCCCCCAGCACGGCCCGAAAGGTCCACAGCAGGAAGATCTACATTGAAGACCTTTAAGCTGGGGGGCCTCGGCTTGGAAATCGGTAGTGGGGGTATATATTCGCTTGAGGCCTTGAGCGCGAGGATCTTCAGTCAAGATCTTCACGCTCGGGATATTTTCGGGCTTCCAGATCGCCAGAGAACCCCAGTATGGCCTCCAAGACAAAGCCCTAAGGGTCACAGTACAGGTACAGCTCCTCGCGCGAAGATCTTCAGTGAAGATCTTCACGCTTGGGGCCTCAGCGCGAAGATCTTCAGTGAAAGTGTTCACGCTGGGGACCTCTTCGGGCCTCCAGGTCGCCAGAGAAGCCCAATATGGCTTCCAAGACAGCCCAAAAGGCTCCCAGGACAGGCCCAGAGGCCCCCGACCAAGCCCAATAGGATCCCCGCGCGAAGATCTTCAGTGAAGATCTTCACGCTGGAGGCCTCGGCACAGCGATCTACAGCGGAGAACTCCACGCTGGAGGTGTGCCGGGGCCTCCCAGATCACCCAAGACATCCCAAAAATGTATCCAAGAGACCACCCAAAACGTTCCTCAGCAGTTCCAAAGGCCCCCAGCACGACCAGAGAGGCCCCCAGCAAGAAAGATCTGCACTGAAGATCTTTACGCTGGGAGCCTCAGCCTCAGCATGGAAATCTACAGTGGGGATTCACACTCTTTGAGGCTCAGCGCGAAGATCTTCAATTAATATCTTTCCGTTTTTTTTTTTTTAGCCGCTGAATCGCCAGAGAAGCCGAATATTGCCTCCGAGACAACCCCAAAGGATCTCAGGGCAGGCCCAAAGACCCCCGACCAAACCCAAGAGGCTCCCCGCTGAGGCCTCAGCGCGAAGATCTTCAGCGAAGATCTTCCTACTGAAGACCTTCCAATCCTCCTCCTCCCCCTCCTCGTCCTCATTTCCACCTCCTCCTCCCCATCTCTTTCTCGTCCTCCTCCTCATCCTTTCCTTTCTTCTCCTCCTCCTCCTCCTCCTCCTCCTCTTCCTCTCTCTACCTCCTTCTCCTCCTCATTCTCCTCTCGTTTTCATCGCGCGAGGGGGGGCGCTGCCTCAATGGACACAATTTGCACAGCGTAGCATAGCTGCAGGGCGCAGCAGCGAGCCCATCATTCAATCCCCACACATGATATGGTAATCAGGTCCCCATGGGATTGCGAGGGCCGATGCAAATGTCCAACGATGGCCCACTGTGGCGCGTTGTTTTCTCCACTCGCAGTGTTCGGCAATGCGTTGCAAGGCGTGAAGCGACATACCATCCCATGTTGCCACACGCGAAATTATGATATGTTATGAAATGCGATGCGATGCAGTGCTGTTCGATGCAACGCCATACTATGCTATGCTGAGTTATGCGTGCACTCCGATTGGTTTTTGGAGAAAGAAAAGAAAGTTGTTGCATAGCTTACGAGTGCACGGCAACGCTTGGCACTGCAGAACATTGCGTCGCCAAAGCCCTATCGCGACTTGCCGCCCCGCCGCCCCGTCTATGGGCAGCGCAGCTGTGCCGTGCCTGGCTGCGTCGTCGGCCGCCTGCGCGTGCGCCGCGTCGATCTTATCCACAGCCTTGGCGCAGCTGTCGCGGAAGACTTTGCCAACCTCCTCCTCCTGCGCCGCGTCCTGCAACGCGTCGGCGTGCTCGTCGGCCAGCGCCAGCGCCACAGCGGCATCTTTGGTGACCAGCCTGGCCAGCTCCGAAGCCGCGATCTCGCGCCAAGGGATGCTCATGTCCCTGTTCCTGACCGTGCGCACAAGCTGCAAGGCGAGGTCCTTGGGGTCGAACCTGTCGAGCACCTTGGCCGCCGCTCGGCGAAACTGCGGATCAACGTCCTCCTCCAGCATCCTCAGGAGCCCGGGCGCGGCCTCCGCGGCGTCGAGCTTCACGAGCGCCACCGCCGCCTCCCGGCGCACATCCGAATCGGCGTCGCCCCGCAGCGCCTCCAGGAGCCCGGGCGCGGCCTCCGCGGCGCCGAGCTTCCCGAGCGCCGCCGCCGCCTCCCGGCGCACAAACCAAACGGCGTCGCCCCGCAGCGCCTCCAGGAGCCCGGGCGCGGCCTCCGCGGCGCCGAGCTTCCCGAGCGCCGCCGCCGCCGCCTGGCGCACATCCGAATCGGCGTCGCCCCGCAGCGCCTCCGGGAGCGAGAGGGGACTGGCCTTCTCAAAAGCGGCCGGGCTTCTCAGAAGCCCTCTGGCCCCCTGTGCCTTCGGAGAAGGCCCAAGACGCCTCTCAGAAAGCCGGAGGCCTTCTGAGCCTGCGCAACTGCTGGAAAGCACCCCGAGGCTGGAAAACCTCCGGGAACAAATGAAAACGTCCGAGAACGTCGACCCCGCCCCCCCCCTTTGCATTCCCCCCGTGCCGCCGAGTGAGATCGGCTCCTCAGGTGGTTGAGTGGTACAGAAGTCCCAGCCTCGGAAGACGAGACACTCGCGGGGACGCGTACGCGTGGAGTTATGACCCCTTCCCGTACCCAGGATTTTGGTGGGCCACTGCGGACAAGGCCAAGGTAGTTTTTCTCTACCGCGGCAAGGCTGCTCAATCGACACTGCGGCCGACGTCTTTTAGTGCGAGGCCGCTTCGCCCAAGGGCCAATGCATTGGGGCGCGCGCGCTGCAACCAACTCACAGACAACTGGGGCCAGCGGACTCTTCGGCCTGGACTCCAGACATTTTTTTTTGTTTTGTTTTTCTTTTTTTTTGAGAGGGAGAGGGAAGGCAGAAGGGAGGCGGAATTTGCGACGTGGACGGCGAAACGGCCAGAGACGAAAGCACGGATCATGTGGCGCGTTTCTTGCCCAAACACGTACACCCTGCGAAATGCTTAAGAAATCATGGGTTAAGAAATTCATAGTCTCAGAAATGGAATAAAACCCAGAACTTCTATCAAAATCTTGGGATTTATATTGAAAAATTACGAATAATCGAGACTCTGGACGAAAACTGAGGTTTTCTTAAGCATCGCCTAAGGTGTAGGATGTGGAGGGTCCCAGATCCGGCGGCTATCGCCGGCCTGGGTGGCAGAGTGAGAGTACTGGATCAGAAGATTCGGGACGCGCGCGCGCGCGCGCGCGTGTGTGTGTGTGTGTGTGTGTGTGTGTGTGTGTGTGTGTGTGTGTGTGTACGTGTACACCACGCGAAATGATTAAGAAATCATGGGTTAAGAAATTAATGGTCTCGGAACTTGAATAAAAAAACCCAGAAATCGATCAACATCTTAGGATTTGCACTGCAACGTTAAGAATAATCGAGACTCTGGCCGAAGACTTAAGTTTTCTTAAGCATCGCCTAAGGTGTACGTGTTGGGCGCCCGAGATATCCGGGGTAACTCGGGTCCGGGGTAACTCGGGTTTGGATTCCCGAAAAAAGGAACCCGAGTTATCCCTGACCCGAGTTACCCCTGATGATTCGGGGCTCTGGACGCCCGAGTTATCCGGGGTAACTCGGGTCCGGGGTAACTCGGGTTTGGATTCCCGAGTTAGCCCTGACCCGAGTTACCCCTGATGATTCGGGGCTCTGAACGTGTACGTGTGTGTGCCACCCCTCGACGGAGCGGCCTCGCGGCCGAGGGAGCTCAGGCGCCGCACGGCCACGTTCAGGTGCTCCTGCCTGGGGAGGTCCTTGATGAGCGTGTTTTCCACCACCACCACCATAAGTTGGAGGGGGGGGTCCTCCTCCTCCTCCTCTCCTCCTCCTCCTCCTCCTCCTCCTCCTCCTCCTCCTTCGCCCCATCCAACTTATGGTGGTGGTGGTGGAAAACGCGCTCATCAGTCCTGGCGCACGAGGATCCTCGCGGGCTCGAGCCCCAGGTCCTCGGGGTCCCCCAGCCGTATCTCGACCTGCCCCGCCACCCTCGGCACGTCCTCCCCGGCCTCCTTTCGGAGAGGAAGCGAGCGCCGACATCCGATACCGATACCCTTCCTTCGTTCTCGCCTGTTTTGCCCGTCACCACGGCCGAGTTCGCCTCGGAGCCCTGGTCAGATGGCACCCTGGGACGGGCCTGGAGCGTAGCGGTCTCGGCAATCGTTTTGTTGACCCGTCCTTATTACTATACCACTTCGTCGTGGACATCGTCACCCTGAAGCCGCTCGCAGGCTGAGGTTCCGTGACGAAGAAGCTGCTGTCGACCACCTGCGCGAGCCTCTTGGGTGGACAAACAACTATCGATACAGGACCTCCCCAGAGTGCGTTCTGTGACAAACCTTCTGGGCGAATCCAGCCGTGGTGATGAGGGAAGACTAGCGGTGTCAGCATATTCTCCTCTCCCGACCTCTCCCACGGGGTCTCGATGGCCGCGCCCGGCGTTCGATCCTGGAGGAGCAAACGACACCACATCAACAGATCAAACTGTCGGCGGTCCGCGCGGATTTCCTGGACGGCGCTGGGACCCCCTCCCTGCCGCGCGGGGCGCGGCGGCGCCGCAGGCAGCGCCGGGGGGTGGCAGGCGCCGCTCCAAGACATCCGCCGGGAGCTCCGAGAGTGTATGTGTGTGCCGCATCTTCTGCGACGAAGCCAGGATCGGGATAACCTCGGATCGAGACAAAGCATGCATCAGGCGCCGCGGCCGTTTCGGTGCGTTCCGGAATGCTCTGAAACGGCCTATCCCGATCCTAGGCCTGCCTGCTTTTCTTCCCCTCGGGATACAAATAATGTCAGAAAAGGTCGTCCGAAAGGTTAGGTTTGTGGCATGAGTTGTTGTTCCCTGATCCTCGAGGCCCCGCGCCCGAAGGCCCGAAAGCTTGTCGCTCCCAATTTTCGAATGGTCCCCAGCAGCCGAAATCGAGGAATACGACTGGATTGGAGAAATCACAGCGTCGGAGATCTTGGCAGCCAGCCTGCGCTGCACTACCACAGCCCCGCTGCTTGGGCCTCTCACGGAGGAGGAGGAGGTGGTGGAGGAGGAGGAGGAGGAGGACCATTGTAAACCCAAGACATAAACGATGTTGGAATAGATCCTCCCCCAGGCTTCCTCTTCATAGGCCCCGACAAGGATTCATTTCCACTGAAGCAAGCGTCCCGTTTGGAGACAATCGTTTGAAGGTCCTGAGGCGTGCCAGAACAGCCATCTCGGGACTGCAACGCCACGAATAAGCCTGACTGTTGCGTCTTGACGATCCTGAATCGTGCCTGAACACCATTCCCGGGACTTCAATACCGCGAGTCTGCGTCGCTGATGCACCCTGTCAATCCTGAGTCGTTCTGAAACACCGTTTCTGGTACGTCAGCCATGGGAGCCCGTGACACTTCTGCAAGCTGAAGAGCGAACGAGAGCGAACGTGCGCGGCGCTGAAGCGAGAATCACGTTTTGAAAACGAACCGCCCTCCATCCGCGATATCATTGGACATGTGTACACCCTGCGAAATGCTTTAGAAATCATGGGTTCAGAAATTCATAGTCTCCGAACTTGAACAAAAACCCAGACTTTCTATCAAAATCTTGGGATTTGCATTGAAAAGTTAAGAATAATCGAGACTCTGGACGAAAACTTAGGTTTTCTTAAGCATCGCCCAAGGTGTAGAACGAATGTGCGCGGCGCTCCGGCGAGAACCGCAGAAGACCGCCCGCTCGCCACCCGTGCTCTTGCAAGAAGCGAACGTGCGCGGCGCTCGCCACCCGTGGAGCGCTCTTGCAACTTGTCGAAGCGAACGTGCGCGGCGCTCGGGCGAGGACCACGTGTTGAAAACCGTCCGCCCCCAATCCGCAAAGCCAGTCCTCCTCCTCCTCCTCCTCCTCCTCCTTCCTCCTTCCTCCTCCTCCTTCCTCCTCCTCCTCCTCCTCCTCCTCCTCCTCCTCCTCCTCCTCCCCTTGCAAATGTTTCAAAACACATGTGCGCGGCGCTCATGCAAAAACCACATTTAGAAAACTACCCGCCCGCAATCCGTGAAAAAACTCTTGCACGGCTGTTCCATAACATCTGTGCGGGGCGCGAAAGCGGGAGCCACATTCTGAGCACCGCCCGCCAATGATATGTGGACATGGCTTGTATGTTTAAGCTTCAGGGTCATAAAGTGTAAAGCAGTCTCAAGCGAAACGCCCGGCCCGCCCTTTCGACTGGCCTCGGGGTGGGACATGGAGGAGTTATTTATAAGGAGAAGGAATGGAGGAGGAGGAGGAGGAGGAGGAGGAGGAGGAGGAGGGGGAGGAGGAGGAGGCAGGAGGAGGAGGGAGGAGGAGGGAGGAGGCAGGAGGAGGAGGAGGAGGAGGAGGAGGAGGAGGAGGAGGGAGGTCCAGCACCCGAACGCCCAGGAACTTGTCGGTCTCGTTCTCGGCGTGCGCCCTGAGGTAGGATCGCACCTGCAGGGTCCTGCCGCCGAGCAGGCTGCCCGAGACCTCCACCTCCGTGATGTACGTGGTGCACGGCCTGCCGTGCTCGGGGCGGACGGAGGCCTTCAGCTTCACCTCGGCGGCGCGCCGGAGGGGGGAAACAAGAGCAGAGGGTCTCCAGACCGAGTTCAAGAGGCACAAGGACACACACACAAATGAATACACACAAGGAAACAGATTCCCCATCTTTTCTCACAGTTTCTGGGTGTTTGTCTTCCCGCCCAATTCCCATATCTTGGGGATCGGCGATTAATTGTGTCTGTGTATGTTCCCCTCCTGACAAATACGCGTACCGTCGGACCTGGGCCAGAAGAACGTCCCTCAAGAACGTCGGCCCAAACACACAGGACGTCCAAGAGTACCCTTCCCAGGGTGCACGAGAACATCCAACAAACGCGAAGAACATCAGGGTACCCTCCCCGAACCGACCTCGATCTCAGATACCTCGGTCCCACCGTTACAGTTGGACCGAGTCTGGAGACCATCTACGGCTGAACTGCAGATGGTCTCCAGACGAGGCCCACGCAGACGAGGTCGGAGGATTGCGCCCGCATCGCCGATGCATCGCCAGTGCATCGGCGATGCATCGGCGTCGTCGGCGTGGAGGAAGCCTGCATCTGGGTAGTCGAAGCCAATCTGGCAGGCCCAATCTGGCAAACGGGGGCAATCTGGCGAGGGAGAGCCAACGCGAATCCAGTCTGGCGAAGAACCCAAATCCTCCAGCTTGGCCGGGCCAGCGTGGCCCGTGGGGCCCAATCCAATCTGACAGTCTGGCCTTCGACTACCAAGCCAGCACCTGCGCCTCGCCGCCGAGGGGCCGCCGCCGCCGCAGGAGGAGGAGGAGGAGGAGGAGGAGGAGGAGGAGGAGGAGGAGGAGGAGGACTGCCCAGATCGGCGTCGTCGGCGCGGAGGACGCCTGCATCGACGAGGGGGCGCAAACCTCCGACCCCCACCCCATCCGCTCGGACCCCATCCATGAAGGGGCCCCAGGACACACAAATAAGTACACGCAAATAAAACGATCCCCCATATTTTCCCATATCTTCTGGGTTTCTGTCTTCCCGCCCGATTCCCACATCTTCCCACATTTTCTGGGGGATCACCGATCCATTGTGTCTGCGTGTTTCTTTCCCTCCTGAATCCAGGAGGCCCAGGGCCCAGAGAGAGTGCGCCGCGAGAGAGGGCACTGCGGGCACTGCGAGAGTAGGGGGAAAACAAACCTACCTCGCTTTTGACCACCCTCGCTTCCAAGAGATACCAAGCGATGCCAAACTACGGCCTGTACTGGTCAGGTCGCTTGACGAGGAGGCGCGTGGTATGACTTGTTTTTTCCTGGAAGCGAAAGCGGGGTAGGTAATTCACGCTCTGAGAGAGGGAGGCCCTTTCTGGCCCTCTGGGGAACTCTTCGCCCATCGACTCCTGGGGCTCTTACGGCCGGTTCGTGTCGTGCCGACCCCAGCCTTGGTTTTTGACACCTCAGGGATCATTCAACCTTGAACGATCGGCCGCTGCCGCAACGTCCGATCGTTCAACATCGATCGATTCTGGGTCGCCGGCGGCGTTCAACCTTGAACGCCCGCGCTGGGGGTCACCGCTGGTCGACACGACGCAAACCTACCGTAGGCATCCAGGGTGCTCCTCGTCCACGGCCGGATCCGCCTCGAGATGCTGGCCAGAGCGCACAGCGGTGCGGGTCCAGGGATCGCGTTTTGCGCCCCCTTCCCTTCCCCCCAAGGGATTCGGAGGAGGCTTAGGAAGCTCCTCAGGAGGCCTGAGGCCTTCTAAGCCTGATGAGAATACCCGCCTCCTCTGCCTTCCCCCCTGAGCACGCCGCCGATCACCATCGGAGGTTCGCTTTGGGCCTGGGGGATCCGCAGCAGAGTGAAATCGCCCCCGTGGTTCACGTCGAAATGCTCTCCATGCAAATTGACGAGGTGCGGATCACCCCTGGCCGACACCGTCGGAGCCGGGGTGGGAACAGTCCACGAGGGTGGAATGCAGATTCCTCGTCCTGCGTTGCCATCGAGGTCGCACACTTCCCCCTCGGCGCACTCGTCAACGCCACATCCACATGGGTAGGTCGAGGAAGTGCTACGTCCGTCGTGTTCAGTACAGTCAGAGATCAACGAGTCGTACGGGTCGTACGAGTCGTTGACACAAGGCTCAACATGGAAGCACGTCTGGTTATCTACGGTAATTTTGCCAATGATGGTCACTATCTCGTAGTGGCCTGGATCGGGGTTTCGCGTCGATATTACTACTGAGTCGCCTCTCGTCAACGTTTGCCCGTTCTCATCGGTGTCTGAGTTGACACAGGCCGTGCAGTTCCCTGGGTACAGAGGCTCCTTAAGATACGCCCCTCCGATACACGTGTCGAAATCACCGAAGTCGTCCCTGCCGGGAGGGCATTTGGTGCACGCCTCGGAACGACGACGCCGTGTTTCCCCATTGGTGCATACGACGCACAGGCTCGTGCCTGGAGTAAAATAATGGCCGAAGTCGCAGTGGTTCGGGGCAGAAATAGGGAACATGGGCAAGAACTCACCCAAGGGGGATTCTACACACTCGTTCAAGGTCACGCAACCATCCCCGTCGAGGTCGAGCTCGCCGAAGTTCCCGATGACCGGCGGTAAATATTTGCACTCCGGTTCGCTGAGGCAGCCATCGCCATCGGTGTCCACATAAGGGAAGCCAGCGCACTTCTGATCGCAAGGACACGCGGTCCCGGGAGGCAGCGTCGGGGCTGGGGTCGCCGTCACATTCGGCTCCTCGTGCAGGTACGTGATCTCTGCAGTAACAGCCTGCAGAACGCCCTCGCAGAATGTCACCCAAGTTGAGCTCCCCAAGGGGAGACCTAAGGCGAAGCGATCAATATATGTGTCCACTGGCCCTGGCCAGGCCCATGCTGGGATCCGGCACGGTGTATACGCCCTCATGACGTGGCCAAGGAGGCATATAGACCCATCCTGGGCCCAGAGAAGGCCTGGCCAGCGGCGGCGGATATGTACAGATCTCATCGCCCGGAGACCATGGGAGTCGTCAGATTCGTAGTGCCCATAATAAGAGCAAGACCTGTCCGAGTCCAGGTCCATGACAGCTGATACGCTCGGCGCGCTGTCGTCGATGATCCATCTGGGTACTCGGCTGTCTCCCTCACGAACTTCTCCGTCACACGATTCGTCAAAATAGATGTAGGAGCCGTGGAAATTGACGTAGATCGGCGCCCCCCCCGCACTGGTTCCTGAGATGATGAAGTTCGGGTCGCCGATCGATGGCCACGAGCATGGCCAGTCCACGTGGAGATACGATGGTGGGGAGCATGTCGCGTTGGAACAAATTTCGCTCGTTCCACAAACAACAGGTCCACATGCACATGGGTAGGAAACACTCGGCCCAGTTCCATTCGCGATTTCGCACGCATCTGGTGCAGGTGTTGGTGAAGGCGTGGGTGAATCGGTCTGCACCCTGTTGAAGTTAAGGCTGATGCCTTGTTCATGGACGGGCTTGGCGCAAGTGGTGCCAGCTTCGTCGTGACCGTCCGTGTCGTTGCAAGGCGCGTCGAAAAGATCACAATGGCCAGGCCAGATGGTATCTTCGTGAACACCAATCGACATGCAACGAGGGTACATGTTGCACGCGGACGCGCATAGTAACGGAGTCTCGTAGCCTGTGGGGAGCGATTGTATTATGTTTCCACACTCGCAATTGCTGCCCGTTTGATCGTAACCGTTCACGATCCATGGGTCACCTGTTTGATTAGATCCCTCCATTCGTGTCCTCACGGCACGCTCTGTTGGCTTTGCTGAATCCCGCGCTGGCACCTGTATTGGCTCTCGGACCTCCACTGCCCGCGCTGCACACGGCTCAGGACACACGATAGAGAACTTAGGTATGCCGTGCAAATGCCGCTGAACATCCTCAAACTTAGAAGTGTTGGTCAGGGGGAAAAAACAATCTGGATACTTTGCGACGCCCGACTCCATGGCCCACATGACTTTCCTGTAACATGCTTCGCCGTCGACCGACGTGTGACACACTTGAGGCAACGGTGCTGGTACTACAATCTCCACCGCCCGCGCTGCACAAGGCTCAGGGCACACGTTGGAGAACTTAGGCATGGCGTGCAGGTGCCGCTGGAAATCCTCGAAACTGGAGCTGCTGGTCAGGGGGGCAAATTGGGCAGGATACTTTACGGCGCCCTTCTCCATCGCCCACACCACTCTCTTGTGACACTCGTCCCCCTCGATCGGGGCCTGGCAGCTGGCCGATGCTGGCAGCTGTGCTTGCACTGCTGGAGTCTCCACCGCCCGCGCTGCACAAGGCTCAGGGCACACGTTGGAGAACTTAGGCATGGCGTGCAAGTGCCGCTGGAAATCATCGAAACTGGAGCTGCTGGTCAGGGGGGCAAATTGGGCAGGATACTTTACGACGCCCTTCTCCATCGCCCACACCACTCTCTTGTGACACTCGTCCCCCTCGATCGGGGCCTGGCAGCTGGCCGATGCTGGCAACTGTGCTTGCACTGCTGGAGTCTCCACCGCCCGCGCTGCACAAGGCTCAGGGCACACGTTGGAGAACTTAGGCATGGCGTGCAAATGCCGCTGGAAATCCTCGAAACTGGATCGGCTGGTCAGGGGGGAAAACCAATCCGGGTATTTCTGGACGCCCGTCAGCATCGCCCACGACACTTTGTCGTAGCAGTGGTCGCCTGCGACTGCGGTTCGGCAGCCCGCGCGTGGCTGCACGACGTAATCGTGCGACGACCTATTCATGAGCTGCAGGTCGGCACACACTCCACCACACAAAGCAAACGCCATCGTGAGACGTCGTATTACCAGCTGCATTGTGAAACCAGACATCGCTCTAACGTGTACCAGTTATGTAATGTATGTACGTGAACAGAGAATTGTGTGTATTAAGTGAATGAAGTTTGAATGACTTGTACTGGTATTGGGTTGACTGAAGAACAACGTGACTCCCGGGCCAACTTGGCAGCATATGTGGGAGGGGAGGGGAGGGGAACAGACAGTAAAAGAGAACTGAGATGTTTCAGGGGACGTGGCGCGGCAGAGGATAGAGGGAAGAGCATGGCGACGGAAGAAGGACGAGCAACCATTATGGTAAGGATGATCAACTGGCTAATGCATGAATGCGTGTATCTGTGCACATTTAACCACACTAGAAACGCGCGTGTGCTTTACGCACGGTCAGCTTCTAGCAAGCCCCTTGCCCTTGACAAGCTCACGACTGCATGCATGTCCGTGCCCACAGCAGACTTAAACATGACTTGGTGTAACTTGACCGTGGACCGAAGAGAGACGCATGACCCACAAGGGTACACCCATGCAATTTGAATGCAAAGCGATGCGACGTAAATAATGCAACGCAGTGCAATGGCAACTGCGCAGTCAATACAAACCATTGCAGTGATGAACGCTCGCGCAATGCCAGCGCAACGAAACTCAAAGAAGTGTAATTCGCCTCAAGAGAATGCAAAACACCCAAATAAAACGAAAGGCACTGCAATGCAACGCAGTGTGCGACCATCATCCAAGAAATCACAGAACAGATCACGCAACGCAATGACAGCACACGTCAACACGAACCACGTGCCGCCATACAGCACACAGGCATGTCACCCATGGCAAGCCCGATCTCAATAATTATCGACCTCACATTCGATCTCAGGTCCATCTCACTATCGACCTCCACGTGCACGGTTT